GCAGCACGTGGCAGGGAAGTTTCTGGCTGAGGTAACTCCCCACACTACTCCCCCTCTTTCCTCCTACCCGCACAAGCAATCAGACAGTGGTGCTTATGACCCACGAGGGAACCGCTAGGGAAGAGTTCAGGAGTCCTGTGGTGAGGATGAGCAGCGTTTCCCAGGTGGCTGTGTTTCTTTAACGGTGGAAGATGTTTGTGATGACAAAGGCCTGCTACATTTCCCCATCCTGCTGAACTGGGCAAACATCAGAGAAATAATCATTGATCTCTTTGACTAAAGACCCTTGCAATTAAGAGTCTGGGACAATCCCCTGTGCTTATCAAAACCACAATGTCCATTTCTTAGTCTAAATAACTTTTTTCTGGGATTACTGAAGATTTCATAGTCTATGATTTCATAGTCACAGTGGATAATCTTTAAGGAATCATGGAAGAGATCAATAAGATCACAGATGCTGTGAGATGGAATCCCAGTCACGGCAAATCACCTCAATATCAATACCAAGCCATCGTCTAAATTAGATTTATTTCAAAGGGGATAGAAGAACATGAGAATTTAGAAAAGAGTATTGTGGGCTCCAAGGCCAGTGAATGCATGCTCAGAAGCTCTACCACCTCAGCCTGCATTACTTATATTTCAATGGATTACTTGGCTGGAAAATTTCAGACCTACTATAGATAAAATATGTGTGAACTTCAGAAGATCTTTTTACAATATCATCCATAAGAAACTTTGTGGATAAGATAAAGAAGGGGTGCCTGGCTTTATTTTGGAGAGTGTCTTCAGATTGTGGTTGATTATAAGTTTTATGAATATTTCTGGGTCAAATGGAAAGGGATGGTTATTATTAGAGTTTCTGTCCTACAAGCCTTTCAACATCGTTGTCAAAGAGATGGATAACAGGGCCTCCCTCGTGGCGCAGGGGGTTAAGCACTGCACTATGAAGCAATCCGCAGCCTCTGCAGCATGAGTTCGATCCCCAGTGGCCAGGGAGATACCCACATGGCGAGGCAAAAATCTCCTGCCTTGCCCACTGCTCCCCTCAGCAGTGTATTTCAGTCAGTCTGCCTATTCTGTTCCCCACTCTGTCTCTGGTGGATCTTCTCACCCCCCCATCTCTGGCCTGTACCCCAGCTCTTGTATGCATAAATAAATAAACCTTTAAAAATAAAATTAAAAAAAAAAAGGCTGGATAACAACAGGAAAGCTACACATCAAATGCAGCAGCAATCTGAAGTCAGGAAGGAATGTTCTTGTAGTCATAACAGCATCAAATTCAAAGTGATTTGGGTTGAATTTAACTTTGAGTTGAAATTAAAAAAATATATATAAAGCCCTACATTTAGGGTACAGGATCAATTTCACAGATGCAGCTTGGCAGAAAGCCACACGAGAACATCTTAGTATTTCAATTGACTACGAATGTCACATGATGTATTTTTAAAATAAGCTCATGCATCTTCCATTTCTCTTACCAGAAGTGAACTATCCAGACAAAATATTTTTGCCCCTATTTTGGACTAGTCAAAGATCTGAAAGATTATGCTCAATTTTCACTTCTGCAATTTTAAGAATATTATGGAATTGGGCTGTCTATAGACAACAACTATGGTGAGAAAATATGATAATAATACAGGAACAACTGTGGCTATGTGCTGGGGGTTGGTGCTGGTGTGAGACTATGGTAACCAGACTGTTCAAAGTTCTTGGCTAATGGCCAAAGTTCTGGGCTATTTGATCCTGAAAATTTTTGCCAGTGTTCCTTTTTTAAATGAAACATAATCCTGTATGACATTATGTTAATTATTATTATCCAAGCAAAATATGTTGGCCATTAATTGTGTGCCAAGCACTATAAAGGGCCTTGGAAATGCAGAGATGCACAAGACATGGCCCTAAGTGCTGATCATACAGACGAGGAATCAGGCAGCCAGACTCCATGAGGCACTTGAAGGAAGCGCTACCGGGTGGTGATCATGGTCCTGTGGGACAAGAAGGGTAGGTGCAAGTAATTCTGACTGGGGCTCAGGAAGGGGCTTAGTCAAGTTCAAAGCAAGTGACCTTCAAGAGAACTGTAGCTTTTCAAATGGGCAAGAAACCTGTTTTTCTCATGCTTATTAAATGGAGGGGTGGCTCCTTCCCAGCGGCACAGCGCTCTTCTATCTGGGGACTGGTCCCTGTACTCCCAGGTCACATAGGTAGTGACAGTCCCAAGGTTTGAATTTTATGGCTGTGTAGTCCTACTCAATTTCATCCAGTCGTCTTTCCTGTGGGCCAATTTTTCCCCAATTGCTAAGCCTTATTTTGCATGATTTTCTGCTAGAATTCAGCTGGCCCTCCAAATTTAGTATTGCCTGACAATTTGACAGGCACAGACTCAATTCCTTTGTCCAGATCACAAAGCCTATGACCAGAATAGATCCACCCTCCACCCAGGAGCAGGTGGCCTGCCACTAGGTATGTCCCAGGCTACTCTCCAAGGCTTCTTGCCAAGGACAGGATGCAGTTGAAAAAACCCTCAGGCTTGTGAGTGAAGGAACAAACTAGCTCTACTGGAAATTTGCTCACATTGAGAAAAAGCAGCCTGGAAAATAATCATTCTGATCTCAATGAGGCAAATGTCCATGCATTGACCTTTGATGAAAATAGAGGAAGGACTGAGGTTATTGAAGGGGGAGGTGGGAAACCTCTCTCTTCTATGTGAAAAGAAGATAGCGTGGTCTCCAGAGGTGACTTTGAAGAGTAATCTTTACGATTCCAGTCAGGGTCCTTCTGGTTGGGAGCAGGGGCACATCCTTAGAAGAAAGTGTGTTTTTTTTCAGTGATGCTCCTTATAGCAAAAATAACTGCCATGGATTGAGTTTACAGTTGCCAGTCCTGTGCAAGCCACTCTGTGATCTAAGCACTATGATTATCATTTACTCGACGGAGACACTGGAGGCCGGGAGTAATTCCGTATCTTACCCACAGGCCCAAGGCTGCCAAGGCACGGGGCTAGGATTCAAGCACAGAGCTATCTGATCCTATTACGTTATGCTAACAAAAGCGTGATAGATTTTTCACTTTTATTCTCACTACTACGTTACAAAACAAATGTCAGCATTCCATTTGTCCCGAGGTGTCAGAATTGCAAATATCTTATCAAGACAGAAAAAGAAAAACCTACACTCCCCCACTCAAATGCTCCATGTCCCTCCCCACTGCCACGCTTTGCCATTAGAGTATGGTTATGGGTTTTTTAAGGGTAGGGAGAAGAGAGGTCAAGTTGCTCACCCAGTGATGATTAAATGGTTGCACAGAAACAAACTTCACGTTGTGGACCTTCATGCAAAAGATTCTGAAAAGTCTCCAGAGTTTTCAGGAATAGCATGTTGGGGAAGCAGGAGCAGCTCTGTTCTGTGAGTCTCCAGAAACAGAGCAGACCCCCCACCGTCTCTCCTGGTCCTGTCCTTACCCCCACCCCGCTGGTGTGACAGTGACCACGGAGTGCAGAGGAGATGCTGGCGCTGGTGTCCATAGAACGAAGGAGTCAGCCTCGATGCCTGAAGGGTCCCAATGCTGCAGAGACAACCCCAAGCATCACAAGCCCAAGGTCAGGCTAATTCTGCAGGAACCCTGCAAGCCGAGCAAGCACAAGGCAGGCTCTCTGTGTTCGAGGGCATGGGGATAAATGTGAGTCGCGGAGTCCTCAGTGGCTTTCTCAGGCTTTCATGTTCTTTCTATGCCGAATATCGTGGGGCAAGCCCGCGGGCTGGCAAGGCAGGGGGGCAGAAGGGTGGGAGGTGTCCCAGCCCCCAGTGAGTCTTTACTCTTTCTTTTAGGGCGCCTCGTGGTCTCTTCCTCCCACATCCATCACTTCCTCTCGGAGCTGCTCCCCCATAGCCGTCTTGTCGCTGAGGGATGCCACCTTATAGGCTCGGCCTCCAGGCTCAGGTGTGCCCACTACACTTGCCCGTGCCACCCTCCAGGTGTCCACAATCAGGCATGTGTGTCCAGTGCGCATGCTCCCAAGCACCTGCTGCATTCAAGGCCACAGGTGATAGCCACAGAGCCCAGCAGTGTAAAAGCCTGAGCAGTTTCACCTCCCACACAACCCTGAAATGAAAGGCTACGGTGGCTGGAACCCAGTCGGGAGATGCGGAAGGAGCCCAGGCTACTCTAGCAGAAAGGATGATAGTCGCTGTCATTTCTGAGCACTTGCTCTGTGTCAGGCACCCATCCAAAGAATTGTTTTTAAATTCTCATGAGAGCAGATCCATTTCTTTTTCCTCCTGGACCCAGAGACCAATTCCCGGCCCTCCTTGCTGTTGGAGTCACCGTGAGACCAGCTTCTAGGTATGGGGGGATTTGCATTGCTTTTCGGTCTGGGCCATTAACCCTCCCTTTGCCCACTGGTCTCACCCCCCCATCATCTCTACCTAGCAGAACCACACACGAGAAGGGGCCGCGGTCCCTCCGTTTCCCCACGGAAGGCCTCCCATCAAACTCCCCAGTGGACTTATTTACAGACATGAAGTAAACCAGTTTATGTTAAGCCACTACCTCAGGACTGATTGGTACTGCAGTTCTGGCTCCCTGCTGAATCCAACAAGCCCACTGGGGTCTCCCAGCAGATGAGTGACTACCCCCAGGCCACCACTTCAGTGTTGGGGGCAGGGCTCAAACCCAAGCCGTTTGGCCCAAGTCCCCCTGCTGCAGCCTCTAGGTCTCTCCTACAAATGGGCCTTGGATTGAATTGTGCTCATGCACACAGGCTGCTCAAGCTCCATGCAGGCACCTGTTGCTGCTGTTTGTGTGTAGAAGGTGTCCGTGGGCCTCCCTAACAACTTCAAACCTGCCCTGCCATCTTCCTACCCCCCTAACTCACACCCACGGGGTGCATTTGTGGGGTGTCTGCTACCTTTCTGTGCTCTTCTTTTTCTGTGCAATTATAGGGGTACAATGAGCCTCCATGTGCAAACGAGGACAGAGACACAGGATTGGTGGGATGAGACCAGCCGGCCTGACCCGCTCCAGGTTTTTATTATCAGCTTGAAAGAACCTCTTCATAGACGTGTGACTCCAACTGGAGGATGACTCGAAGGTGGGGGCGTAGTTGATCCCAAAGATGACAAAACCCAGGCTCTCAATGGCCTCAGCAGCGAGAAACAAACTGCAGAACCTTCTCAGAAAAGGCATGTGAGGTCAGTGACTGGGGTGCGGATGAAATCTTGGGTGAGAGGGAGTTCCTCCCTCCTGATTTTTACTATTCTAGTCACACCTGTTTCTTGTGATGATCTCTGTGCCTGTGAAGACATTACCATATCTATTTAAAAATCTTGTTAGTTTCCAATTAAACGGACTGAGCTGGCTCAGGTTTCTAAACCCCCAGTTCTTAAAGCAGATGTCTCAGAAGCAGACTTGTGTCTAAGCCCGAGCGTGTGATCTTCGCCTGGGAGAGCACTGAGTGGATAAACCCCAGCACTGTTTGTTATTGACAGGGATCATAGGGGACTGCTGTGGAGTTGCGGGTCCTTTGCCAAAGAAAAGGAACCTCGAAAAGTTTTTCCAAAAAAAAAAAAAAAATCTCGTAAACTAGAAGGTAGATAATTAGACCCAATTTACGAGTGTTCTGTAGGAGGGAAGTGCTAGCAGGTTTGATAGCTGGTGAAGTTGCTCACCTAAGGCTCTCCAAAATCTTGTTACTTGGAATGAGAAGAGACAGGGTAAACGAGGTCCTCTCCATCTAGGGAAAGCAAAGGGGTAGATTAATAAGGCATGACCAGCTGCTGCAAGTAGTTAAGTCCTTTCCTAAATTGTGACAGGCATCAGTGCCATGGAGAGTGCTTATTAAAATGCTGATTCCCTGGTCAGGCCCAGGACCTACTGAACCAGAATCTGCGGGCTAGGTCTGGGAATCTGCATGCTCACAAGGTCCTGAGCTGGTTTCCATGCATCTGCAAACCTCTGAGTTAGGAAGAAAATATCTAGGTGTTCCTTTTTGTAGGAAATAGAAAATTCACCACTTGAAATAATAATTCACATTCTCCTAATGCCAGTTTATGCTGATCTAGTTTATACTAAAGACTTTTTTCTCCCTCAAAAATTAGATTCACTTATTAGATTTACAAGTAAAAGAATACCCCCCAAAATGCGAATAATATACAAGACATCACAAGATAAAGGAATGAATCTGGAATGCAGAGGCCCCCTGGGGAGGGAACCCCACATGTGGGAGACCGAGGCATCTGCCCCCAGGCGCAAAAGCATGTTGTTCAATAGAGAAAGCCTAGTGGCTTGGATTATAAACCCAAGACCCAACCACCTTGCACACCCAGCCTGTTAGGGTGGCAGGGTACCCCATACATCTCTTACTCAGCTTGGACTGATATGACAAATGTTCCAGAAAGCAGGCTAGAGAGTCACTACAATAAGCACAGTCAGAGTGAAGACTGAGCCAGGACCCCTAGGAGCAAGAACAGGCCGAAAGAGAGTGCAAATTGAAAGGAAGACACAATCTGTAAGAATAGCAGCCAAGAAGTCCTGCGTGGGCCCGGGCAACCTTGGTTTCTGAGCAACCTCAGAGAGGCAGGAAGGAGAGAAAGTGGGGCTCATAGCAGCTGCTCACCACCTCACCTTAGCCCCAGTGAAAGGACCAAAAGGACCGCAATGACGGTGCCAGTGGGGCTACCTGGAAAGGCACTCGACCCACGTGGAGACACTTGCATGAAACAAGATTCCATCCTAGCCTCTCCGCTGTTCAGATGTGACAGAGGACTTGTCCCTGTGTGACTTGCAATGTCAACTTTTATTATTTTAAAACAGCACCATGGGTGCCCGCTGGCCCCCTCTGTTGCTGTCCCAGCTGTGAAGCAAGTTGTGCATTTTAATGGATGGGGTTGGGTGTGGCACTGAGATAAATAGAAGTACCCAAAGGTGCCTGAGGAAAGAATTCATCATTTGGCTAGCCTGTAGCCTCGGGGTGCCTTCTTATCAAGGCCTGTAGATGCCAAAAGGTCCACCAGAAATCTCAGGTGTGGCCCAGAACAAGGAACAGCAAGGGGAAGAAAATGCAGGAGAAAAAACCCCAAGAGAAGCCCCCCCCCCACCAGATGGCAGAGAATGAATTGTGTGGTCTGTGCCCTGAGGCTGGAGGTCAGGGCTCCCCTACCCTGCAGGAAATTTCTGTGACCTGTCCTATTCCCCCTCCCATCACACCCTCCCTGGCTGGCCTGACCTCTTCTCCGCTAATAGGCTGCAGTCTGAATGCTATTAGCTAGCAAAAGTCAGGCCACCTCAGGGGAGAAAACCAGAAAGAGTGGCCAGTTTGATCCTTTGTGGCCTCAGGTTGCCCCCCAGCCCTGATCCCTCCACCCCACCCGCACTCCACTCTGGCTAGGAGAAGCCTCCAGGTACCGCCCTGGCAGGCCCTGGCCTGCCCCAAGGCAGGCAGCTCCCAGGGGTGGGAGGCACCAGCCTGGCTCCTGTCTTCCCAGGGAGGACAGATGTGTTTATTTCAAGCTACAGCTGAGAAGTGGGAGCTTGGATTGACTTCAGGAGGCAAAAACCTAGTCCTCCCGAGGGAGCCTTGTTTCTGCAGCGGCAGCTTCCCCCTCCCTCGTGTGTCTCTGCTTTCTCTCATTTCCATCCTTCCCCACCCTCCCAGCACCTCGAGTGGAAGACCCACAGAGCTGGCTCAGCTCCCCCAGTGGAGGCCCAGGGGCTCCAGCGCCCAATGAGCTGCAGGAACACCTTAGTAACAGCTCTGCCTCTGTTCCCAGGCTGCAGCCTCCTTCTCTTAAAGGCACCGGCACTCTCCTGCCTGCTTATACCTCCCCGGGTTCTCCCCTCTCAGTGTTTGCCCCCCCACCCCTCTCACTGCTAGACTTTCCCCTTCAGTTTCTCTTCACTCTCATTTACAAGTGTTTATCTTCACTTTCTCATCCCTTCCCCAACCCCTTTTCTTTTTTGAATCACCTTTTCTCTTCCCCATGGAGAGCATGTGACAGCAGTAAAACCTGGCCTACTGGGGAATTAGGAAGCCAAGCTAGAACTCAGTAAATTGAGGCTACACTTCACTGAAGTATTAAACAGAGCACACGGATGCTGGTGGTCAGGGGGGCAGTGGGGCCCAGGAACAGTCGCTGGTGAACTGCACTTTGGGAGCAGCATGGGTGGGTCCTCAACTTGGCAGATTCAGAATCTTTATCTTTTTGGTTCACTGGGAGCAATCAGGCATTGGGAATAGAGTCACAAGAAAATAAAGACAAAACCAGAGAGCCTCTGGATTCGTTTACTGAAGGACAGAGATAGACTAGATACCTGGGATTCTGTTTCTTCTGCCTGGGCTCCTGGGGAGACTGTGTTACCCGGTCTCACTTGCAGTTGGGTGGACCATGTGATTGAGTTCTAATCAATGGAATGTAGGCAGAGGTGATATAAGCCACTTCCAGAACTGGCCATAGCATGCCCCATGTACTGGAGGTGAAAGACTTCATAATCGAGAAGCACAAAGGAACTTGGATCCTTGAGTCACCACATGGAAGAGAGCCCCCAGGAAGTATGCCTAACTCACGGTGAACTGTGATGTGGGCAAGAAATAAACTTTCATTGTCTTAAGACAGTGAGCTTTAGAAATTATTTACTTTATAAATTAGCATTAGCATATCTTTCGGGGGTGGGGAGGAATAACATTTTCATTGCTGCAAAACCTGTCTTCTTTATACCAAGGCACATGAAAAACCTCATCCTTGGGGCTTGCTTGGTGAGCATGAAATCGAGCAAAGCCATCAGAGATAGCTGATTTAGCTGCAGTACAGTATAAGCAAATGTTTCTGCCTTAGTTTCGGAGGTAAAATGGACATTCTCCAAGCAATGGACACTTCCTGATCACCTGTTCATCTTTTAATGTAGGAGTTGGAAGAGACAGATTATGAGAACAAGGAAGAAATTGCACATGTTCAACAGGGTCAGGATGGGGAGGAAAGTGCTGAGATTTAAAGACAACATGCAGAGGGCTGGCCAGGAGAGGACCGACCACACTGTGGGTCAAGGATGCATGACTTAAGTTCCAGATGTACACATCCATGGCTAATCAACAAGGCCAATTGGATGTCTGCCACTTGGAGGTATTTCAACTATAGCAACTCCAAAGCTGTTCCTCTCTAAACCCAACCCATCTCAAGAAACACCTATTCTCTCGTTCTCCCAGGTCAGAGACTGTAGAGTTCATCTTAACTCTTCTCTGTCTCTCATGCCCCACTGGCAAATTCTGTAGGTTCTCCTGTGAAAATAGAGATGGCCCTAACTTACAATGTTGTGAATGACAATTTTTCCACCTCACCATTATGCTTTCAGCTGTGTGTGTAAATGGTAAGAATCCAGATATCCATTCTGTTGTCTAGTTCAGTTCAATGCTAGTTTCAATACATTTCTTACAATATTCAACACTTTTGTACGATACAGGCTTTGCGTTAGGTGATTTTTCCCAGCTGTAGCTCATGGAATTGTTCTGAGCATGTTCCAGGCAGGCTGGCCTAAGGCATGACATTTGTTAGCTTAGGTGTATAAGTACATTTTCAACTTAAAATGTCTTTAACTTATGATGGATTTATCAGGATGTAACCCCATCGTAAGTCAAGGAAGAGCTGACCTGTAAGAGGTCAGCTACCTTTTACCAGTAGGCTACTACCACCCTGTGCCAAGCTGCTGTCACCTGTTGCCCACATTATTGCCAAGGCATCCTAACTGGTCTCCCTGCTTCCATCCTCGCTCCCCTATGGTCTGTTCTTCCCTCCATAGTCATATTTTTTAAAGATTTATTTATGCATGCAAGAACTGGGGTACAGACCAGAGGTGCAGTGGGGTGAGAGGATTCACCAGAGACAGAGTGGGGAACAGAACAGGCAGACTGACTGAAATACATGGCTGAGGGGAACAGTGGGCAAAACAGGGGAGGTCTGCTGCACCATGTGGGTAGCTCTCTGGCCGGCTGGGGATCGAACTTGTGCTGCAGTGGCTTCGGATAGCTTCATAGTGCTGTGCTTACCCCCTTGGGACACCAGAGAGATCCCATAGTTATAATTTTTATTTGAAAATGAAAATCAGATCATGTTGCTTAAACATTCCAAATGCTTCCATCTTACTGAAAATAAAATGCAAAGTTCTTATCATGGTCCACAGGTTTGTTTGACAAGGGTCCGCACCTCTTCTCTGACCTCACCTCCTACCATTCCCTCCTCCAACAGACACATTCAGTGCCCCTGGCTTGCCCCCCTCTAGACACCACCGTATTGCCAGTGACCTTCTTGCATCTACCTGGAGGTTATTCTATGCCCGCAGGAGCAGATTGCAGCAGCCACTTCACCAATGAGATGGGAGTTGGACAAAGACCCACCTTCCTCCCTGCCCAATGGGGCAGTGCTGAGGCGCATTCCACACAGTCTCTGAGGTCCCCAGCACAACCAAGCTTAGTTGCCCACAGTCGTAACCCACTCATGAATGTCCCATTTATTAGCTTTCCTTCCTCCCCTCTTTGACTTCCCCATTCTCTCATATCACTTCCCAAGGTCACCTCCAGAAGAAACCACTTGCACCCAAATCCTTGTCTCAGGGAGTCTGCAAGCGAAGATGCCTCTCCTCCACCGCAGCTCTACCTGCTTCCTGTTTCTGGAACATAACAAATACCTTGGAGCCTTTGTAACTTCTGTTCCTTCTGCCCTGGAGTACTTTTTCCCTCCAGGCCTTCAGGTTGCAGCTCAGAATCATCTTCTGTGGTGCAAACATATAAAGTATATACATAAAGCAGGAACCCCCCGCCCCCGTGAACAACTCTCTGTCCCCTACCTCTGCTTTATTTCTCTATTCATCATCAATGGTGAAAAAAAAATTGTATGTTGATCTGCTTATTTATTAACTGTCTCCCCCACCACCATCCCAGCCAGAAGATAAGCTGATAAGCTTCAGGGGAAGGACTTGGTTTTGTTCTCTTCTGTTCATGTCAAGAACAGTGCATGGCACACATGAGGCGTCAGTATATATGTCACCAAGCCCAAGAGAGTCAGTCATCTGGTAATTGTCAGCCTTTAATGCAATGCCTGGGCTTGGTAAAGCAGGGCAAGAACTTTGTTGCTTGACAAGCAGTGGAGAAGGGAGGACTCCTTCTCCAAAACATCTTTCCATTGGGGCAGAGAGATGGAGAGAGTGCTCCCACGAAGGAGAGTGCTCCCACAAAGACAGAGTGCTCCCACGAAGAGAAAGTGTTCCCCCAAAGAGTGTGCTCCCACAAAGACAGAGTGCTCCCATGAAGAGTGGGCTGGATACTTTTCAAGCCAACAAGGGGATGGTGTGGTTAAGGGCAGGATGTCCTGCTACCTGCACCCCTTTGTCACCTGCTTTCTCCCAGCTGGCTGTGCATCTTTGAGCTGGCTCTGGATGGTTCTGCCTTTCAACTTTTGAGCAACAGCAACTCCTGTGAAAGATTCCACTTAGAACAGAACAACTGACAAAGCACGTATTCAGTGAAATAAATGTTTCAGGTTTTTGTGCAAGGCAGAGCCTGGCAGAGAGCAACAAATATTTGTTGAATGAATGAATGGATGAAGAACAGGGGAAAAGGGAGGAAAGGATATTCGTGTCCAAAGTCACAAACATACAAGTTGGCTTTCGTGACCTTTATTGGTAGCTCAGCGTGTACAAGACGGGAACGTCGCATGGTAGGAGGGTCTTGCTTGATTTCCTACTTTCTGGAAAGAAGGTGACTTCCCCCCAATGAAAACCATGAAAGGGTTAATCTCACCTGTGCTTCCTGGCTTTTGTTTTCAAGAAGTGTTTTAGATTCTAAGTACAGCATCTTCACAAATTCCTTTAATCCAGAAAGTTCATCTGGGTCCTTCCAGTGTAAAATTCCCTGAGAGCAGGACCATGTCCTGTTTGCTCACCCCTGTATGCAGAGCGCCTGGCACATCAGAGACACTCCGTAAATATTTGATGGGCGCAGGACCGAAGGGGCGCCAGGGAGCAGGGAGGCAGGGGCCCAAGGTCAGCGCATCAGCTCGCTCAGGCCCCAGGCCTCTGAGGGACTCAGCCCTGAGCCTGCCTCCCATCCTACCTGTGCTTCACCAGAGCTGTTCATCACCTGGCTGACAGGCAGAGTCATCCAAGAAAGTAGAAAGAGGAGAAGAAAAATAAGGCAGGGAGGTGAGGAGGGAGAACCTAGGTTCTTTGAGCAACCACTATTCCTTATTCTGGCCCGAGTATTGGCACTTTTAAAAGCCTTGGCTGTTCACCCCAACCTCCCCACTCAATCCCAAGTCACAGTGCTGGGGGGGGGGAATAAAGGGGGGCGGGAATCAATGTGCTTAATCTTCCCCCGGCTCCCTAGCAACGCCCCTGCGGCTCCCCTGGCTGGCCACAGAGCCCAGCTCTCCAGGCCTCTCTCTGAACTTGACTCCAAGGTTGGGGATGTTGCTTGTTAAAAATATGCCCAACCCATGCCGGGTCTGGAGAAGCCAAAGAGGAAGCTGCATTCCCAGCGCCCACCCTCGGGGCTCATTCTCACCTGCCCCTTCAGGCTCTTTGCACACTCTGGGCTCTCTCTCTTCAGGTCCTCGCTGTCTGTCTGTCCCGCTTACCCAGCCAGTGGCCCATCACCTGTTCCATTCCTGCTCACGGCCTGCAGACCCCCCTCTTCAGGTGTGTGGCAGTGCTGCAGAGGGGTACTTACCTGCCAGCAGATGGTTGAGTTGAGACTAATCAGTTTGGAAGTAGTAAAAGGATCCTTTCCTTTTCTCCTTTAAATCATTTGTCATTCTGCTCTCTCTTCCTGTGAGTCTGCACCTCAGGGTTTACTGCCCCCGGGAAGAGAAGGGGGTAGAGCTCAGAGGCAGAGGTCACCTTTGGGGATCAAATCTCTCTTGGCCTCTGAGGTGAGAGCTTCGTCTTCAGAATTAGGCTTTGTGAAAAGAGAGGAGGGGCTTCTAAGTTCTAGCACTCGCCTCGAAAATATCAAGAGCCAGGCCTGGTTGGATTGATGGTGAGTTTTAGAAAAGGGAGGTCTGTGCAGAGAAGCCTTAAGAGTTGGGGGTGGGGAGAGAAACAGTAACGAAACAGGCAGTTATGGGGAGCCCGAGAACCTGAACACGACAGGCAGGCTGTGCGCATGTACCTGGGCACACCTTGCAGGAGGCTCCCAGCAGAAAACCCCCTGTCTGGGTACTTGGCTGAGGGTGTGGCTGGAGGGAGGGGTCCGAGGCAGGGGCTTCCACACAGCTTGGGGAGAGCAGAGAGCCAGACATTCCTACCGGGCCAAAAGGATGGGGAAGGTATGGGGAACAGGCAGAGACGGTGAGACAAGGCCAGATCAACAGGTGTATATGCCACGGTCATTCACTGAAAGTCCAATTCCATCCTTTCCACATACTTGACCCCTTTACCTGATTCACCCTCCTTTCTCCTTCCTTTCTGGTATCCACTAATTGGTCGTAGAGTCTAAACATTTCCTTTGTTTTATTTAGTTCATCTGTTTTGTTTCTCTCGATGCCATGTGTGAGTGAAAGCATACAATGTTTGTCTTTCTCCATCTGGCTTATTTCACTTAGCATAACACCCTCTGGATCCATCCCCATGTAAATGGCAGGATTTCATATTTTTAATAGCTGAGTAGTACTCCATCGTGTCCACGTGCTGCACCGTCCTAATCCACTCCTCCGTGGCCAGCGCTCAGGTTGTTTCCGTGCTTTGGATATTGCAAATAATTCTGTGATAAACACAGGGGAGACACATGTCTCTTCAAATTAGCATTTTTGGTTTTTTTTTTCAGGTAAATTCCTAGAAGTGGGATAAACTGGATCATATGGAATTTCTATTTTAATTGTTTGAAGACTATTAGTTGACTTAATTTTTTAAATATTTATTTATTTGTGCATACAAGAGCTGGGGTGCAGGCCAGAGGTTTGGGGTGGGGGGGAAAGCGGTGAGAGGATACAGCAGAGACAGAGTAGGGAGCAGAACAGGAGAAACAAATGAAATACACTGCCGAGGGGAGCAGCGGGTGAGACAGGAGAGGTCTGCCGCGCCATGTGGGTAGCTCCCTGGATGGGGATCAAACTCATGTTGCAGTGGCTGCAGATAGCCTAATAGTGCTGTGTCTTTAACCACTGTGCCACCAGGGAGGCCCAGGAGTTGACTTTCTAACCATCTTACACTTACACTTTCAGTTCAGAATGTGACCTGCACAGGTCAGGCCTCGCCCCAGATCTGTGCCAATGAGCAGTATGGAGGCTCCTGTCCATGATCTTGGTCCATGATCCACAGCTGAATAAGAAATGACCCTCACACTGTTACAAACATACACGACATGCCAAAAAGAAATATGCAACAACCATTAAAGCCCCTAGTAAATATTTTTTAAAACAATAGTCATAAATGCTAACAGACTATGAGGACATTATTTATAGGTTAATAATCTCTGCATGAGCCTATTTCACTTAGAGCTTCTGTGATGAGTGTTTTAGGACAGACCTGAGTATTGAACGTTGAGATCGAAATAGGATTTTCTTTAACTGATAGAATTTCCAAAATAAATCATACTGTCGGTGACTCATTCAATCCATTCCAGCATGCTCTGCTACTTGTTAGGGGATTTTTATTTAATTTAAGCATTTTCATTATTGTGGGTTTTTATTGTGCACTCTTCAGTTCTGAGTCTTGGGCAATTGTTGTAATAAGGTTACTAGTCAGAGGCTGCAGATAAAGAACAGAAATTCAATAATTAAAAGGCAACCAAGAGTGCACTCTGTCCAGTAGCAAAAAATTCAGATGGGAAAGTGCACAAAGATGGGCTGGAAGCCAGAACTATTAATGTAAAATAGGATTATTTCCAGTGGTGAACCAATACGTGCCCTGGTGAGGATCTGGCTTCTTCCAAGGGCGTTGGGGAGGTTTTTAAGGATATCGAGCAAGAAAACCATGACTCAAGTGCTGTTAGTTGGAGAACTGTGCAGGCCAGTGTGAAGCAGGGTCTGCAATGAGGCTATTTCCAGGGAATTCCATAAGGGGAATTACAGCAGTTTGGACGCAGGGGAGAAACTGGCTGGAGAGGAAAATCTAAATTTGAGTATTGAACATTCTTTTTGAGCTCTTCAGGAGACATCAAGCAGCTGTGTCCAGTGGTTGGTCAGCCCAGCCAGGAGGTCAAGATGAGGTGTCATTGAGTCTCAGCCGAGCTTAGGTGAGATTGTATGGTCAGCAGAGAAGGCCAAAGCATTAACGTTTAGAAATGACCTTTGAAAAACTCTAAGTTTGCTTGTACCTGAATTTTGGGGAGCTCAAAGCCAGGGTTTGCTCCTTTGTCTCTTTGCATATGGCCACTGCATCTGCTTCCCCTCACCCCAAGTGTCTTCTCCGGGTTGATGCTTTGTGGAAACAGGAAATGTGGTCGAAGTGAGATTTTTTTCTTTGCCAAGCAGATAGAATTAAATTCCCTCTTCACATCATACGGCTTTAGTGTATGAACTTGGGAATCATCGGCAAAAAGATAGTTTTTAAAACAATGGGAAGACTGGTTTGTTTCCATTTGCTCTTTTTCTAGTTCCTTCAGATGTGAGGTTAGATTGAGAACTTTTTTACAGGTCCCAATGGAAAAAGGTACAGAGATTCCTTTAAAAACTGAAAATGGAAATAACATATGATGCTGTATTACCATTTTTAGGTATTTATCCAATATGAAAACACTAATATGAAAAGATTTAGGAACCCCTATGTTCATAGCATTATCCGCAATAGCTTAGACATGACTCAGCCTAAATCACAGCAGAAATAACTCTGGGTTCTGTAAGAATCCAGTAGTTACAGCAGGCAGGGGTGAGGGAGGAAGGGGCAAAGTTAAGGTGACAGGGCCTTGGCATTGAAGGTGTGGTGGAGGGGGGGTAACAGTTATGTATATGTTGAGGTGTGAAGCTGTGTTTTCCAAATTAGATAGTTTGTAAACAAATGGTAAATCAATGACATTTGATTAAAATAGATAGGTGACTTAGCTAGAGAGTGAAGCAAGATGAAGGCTGTATTTTTTTTAAAGATTTATTTATTTATGCATACAAGAACTGAGGTACAGGCCAGAGGTGCAGGGGGGTGAGAGGATTCACCAGAGACAGAGTGGGGAACAGAACAGGCAGACTGATTGAAATACACTGCTGAGGGGAGCAGTGGGTGAGTCAAGAGAGGTCTGCTGTGCCATGTGGGTAGCTCCCTGGCGGGCTGGGCATTGAACACAGCCCAGAGGCTGTGGATCACTTCATAGTGCTGTGCTTAACCCCTTGCGCCACCAGGGAAGCCCAAGGCTGTATTTGTTTCCTAGGGCTGCCACCACCAAGTACCACACACTGGGTATCTTAACATAACAGAAATGAATTCTTTCTTGCTTTGGAAAAGAGAGGTCAGAAATCTGGCTGTCATCAGTACCAGGCTCCCTCCGGGTAGAATCCTACTTTGCTTCTTCCAGACACCCTGGTTCCTTGGCTGGCTGATGCTTCAGCCCAGTCTGTGCCTTGGTGGTCTCAAGAGATTCCCCCACCCATGTCTGTGTGGCACTGGTGGGAGTCTTTTTCCCGGGTGTCTGTCTCTCCTCAGTAAGGACACCAGTCATGTGGATTAAGGCCCTTTCCTACTCCAGGGTGGCCTTGTCTTAGCTGGCTACCACTGGAAGGATCCTGTTTCCAACAGGTTCACATTCTGAGGTACTAGGTGCTAGGATGTCAAAACCTCTTTTGGGAGACACAGATTAACGCAAAACAAGGACTCTGGGCCCAGCACTGAGAAAGAGCAAAGCAAGTTGTCAGGTGGGCTGGACTAGTGAGGAAACTGGTTAGCTG